TCACATGATTTGGACATGTGACATATTATTTGGTGGCTAAGTAAACAGGTATCAATTAATATTATTTATTTTTGGTTAACTTATAATTACCTTTTTGGTAATTACTTATTGGAGAAATGTTTTCCTTTCTTATTCCTTACTTTGATGGAAAGTAGAATTATATTACTAAAAGGAAAACTGGTCATCTCTCTGCCTTTATAAAAGTGCATATACTCCATCAATTATGTATGCTAATAAAAACAACATGTATAATTTTTATGTGTGCAAAAAGCCAAGAGAGAGAAACCAGTTTCCACCTTTGCCTGTTGATCAGAGTTGCAGATTAGTTCGTGGTTAAAAGATTTAGACATTGGATTCAATCTCAACAAGGTTTGATATCATGAATCGAGGTATTTATATCTAACCATTTTTTATGCATTATAGATATGTAAAAATCATGAAGTTCTAAGATATGAGATTCATGTAAATTTGTGATTAATGGCTTAACACGAATTAATTATAGTTTACAGTTTTGACCGACCAACACTTATTAGAGTGTGATTCTCGTATTTCACCATGTGGAAGTGAGGCGAATAGATGTTGCTTAATGGAATTTGTTTCTTTTCCCAACTATAACACGTTTTTGGGAAATCACTATTTACTCTCTTTAGTGTATATAAGAGTAATGCTCTCAAGAGGGCTCTCTCGTGAGAAAAATCATGAGTTCTTTATATTTAATCACTGGATTAAGATAGTTTTTTTTTTTTTTTTTAATAAAGATCTATAAAAATTTAAATGAATTATTTAGTAAATCTTTCAATTTATTCATGAAAATGGAGAGCTCATAGTGAGGGAGCTCTCTTGAGAGTATTGCTCTATATATATATGCCGAATCTTTGCAACATATGCTAGAACCTTTGTGTTATAAATATTGAGAGAGTGAGGGAGTAAAATATGATATTACATTATTCAGGAAAAAAAAAATTGATATTACATTGAATTGTATTGAATTGATGAAGGCCATATTTGTGAAGATTTACCATGTTGAAGGTGCTTTGGGAAGTGCATAATGACCAATGATGGTGCGTGGTGACGGAGTTTATCCGATACGGCTGAGGTGCGGGATTATTGTTGTTGTGCGTGTGAGCTCATAAAAGAGTGGGCTAACCACATGAAGCGCATGGTAGCACGGTGACGGAGTTGATCCAACACGTTGAGCATCTCTAAACAAGCTAGGTATCTCGTTGGGTTTCCTTATGTAAGACTTAAACAATGAGATTTCCTTATATGGGCATGCCTAGGCTGGGCTTCTCTAAACAAGGCATCTCGTTGGGTTTGCCGGAGGAATACTTAGACAACGAGTCTTCTCTAGACGGGGCATATGAAGATCTTGGCGTGCGGAAGCGTGAGTTTGTTGGTTGACCGCCGATGGTGCCATCTCGACGGTGGTGACTACGATAAACTGATAAATTGTTTACCAGTGATCGAAAATCTCTGATACCATATAAGAAACAAAGGAATAAGAAAATATTATATTGTACTATATATAATGATGAGTAGATAGATCTCCTATATATATATATATATATATATATATAGTAGAAGATTTGGGGTAGGTGAGAGATGATTAAATCATTTATGCACTTTAACTAGATAGGTAGAAGTATACATAGTAACTGTGTAGGTTGTTGCGAAATTAAACAGAAAACACAAAAAAGAGATCAAACACACACACACACACAAAAATACACAGATTTTACTTGATTCAACCAAAATCAGGGTTACGTCCAAGGGTTGCAAGAATTTTCACTATGATGATAATAATAATAATAAATAAATAAATAAATAAACAGAAGTAGATATAGAGAATTCAGAATGAATAAATATCCTCGCACTAGGGTAACATAACAAGTGCAGAAATTACCGCGAAATTGGGCCTTAGAATACAATATCTATCAAGCTCTACACTATCCATCATAAGTGTAGATGTGTTAACCGTAATTTGTAACTAGGTAAATGATATTATAGTACTTTTATAATCCTAACATTTTGCAATATTGGCTGTTTTTGTTGGCCTTTAATAGTAAACTGGCCTAGAAGGTAAGTCACAATTTTTTTTAAAGGTAAAGTACAGCCACACCCCCTGAAGTTTGACAAAAGGACACTCAGAGGAAACTTACTTGTTTTTTTTTTTTTTGTTATTTACTTTATAAATGTCCAAATTTCTTTAAAATGTAGACGTCTAAAATGATTTTTTAATCCAATACATATATTTCAAATACATTATATTTTGTTATTACCTTTTTTCTTTTTTATTTTTAAATTAAGATACTTAATTCTTTCATCTAAAAAAATTAAACCAATTTCTTTTCCTTAAAAGTAAAAAATATGGTACCAGCATAACTTTATGCATCTTAAATTATACATAATATTTGATATATAATTTAAGATGTAAAAAGTTATACTAGTACCATATTTTTTATTTTTAAGGAAAAGTGTTTGATTTAATTTTTTTAGATGAAAGAATTAAGTATCTTAATTTAAAAATAAAAAAGAAAAAGAAAAGAAGTAATAACAAAATATAATTTATTTAAAATATATGTATTGGATCAAAACGTCATTTTAGACGTCTACATTTTTAATAAGTTGGGACATTTATAAAGTAAAAAAAAAAAAAAAAAAAATGAACAATATAAAGTTTTTTTTTTTTTATGCATAAATTATTCATGAATGTAGATTGGTCCAATTTATTAAATTGTAAAGTAATATTTTTATCTATTTTTAAACTTTCAAAAGATATCTTTATTAAAAAAAAATAGATAAATTTAGTCTAAGTGTCCTTTTGTCGTATATTCTCGTTACTTCTTCTCACTTTGGGTGTGACTTGGGTTTTCGTGGCTTTCGCACTACAGCTCCTGAACCTGCTCTTGATATGTGTCACTTAACTTTTACCTTTATTGGTAGAGATATCTACAGATGAAAACTACAAGATTAAGTGGATAGAAGTTTTTTTATTATTATTTTTTCTTTCGGAAATTACATAGAAGTTTCTTTAAACTATTCATTTCTTTGTTCTTATCGAAAAGATATATATTATTTTCTTACAAATATATAAACTAATCCTATAATCCAGTTGATTATTTTGATAGTAATCAGTGAATGCATAAAATCAGAAATGAACCATAAAGCAAGTTGGACTTTTCTTTTCCTACCCGAATTATGCAACTTCGTTGCTGCCTCCGTCTGTCATGTTTCACGGAATTAAGGAACTAGGTCCCCTATTTGCATCGGATTTTTCTTGCATTCTTTGCCCACAATTAACTCCAATTGACCTGACGTAGTTGACTTGGACTTCATGCCTGAATGTTGAACCACCAATATCTTAACTGCAAGTAAATCCCACTTGATTCATTATCTACTCCTTATTACTAGTATTTTCGATCAGTTTTTGGTCAAGTGCAATACCCTTTGTTCAAATATAAAAGTTGGGATGAGTCCACGAAATACATGGTGAGACAATGGGTCAGTGTGTTGTTGACTCTTCACTAAAGTAACAATTTTTTTTTTTTTTTTTTTTTTTGTCCGTTGATCGTAAAACACGCATATCATATTAAGTAAAATTATTTTTTATAATATATATATTTCTATCAAATATTGAAGCTACGGCACTATAAACTTCCCTTCTATGTACCAGTTTTGAATCTTGGAATGTGGTTTAAGGTTTAAGCCCCAAACCAAAAGGGTGCAAGGTGTGAAGCAGTGACAGATGACAACTTTGGTGACAATGACTTCCAAACGGCTCAGCGATATTACTCCTCCTTTCTTAAATGAGAGGTCGGTGGTTCGAATCTCGATTAAAAAAAATGGGTGTGCATAATTACTTTAAAAAAAAAAACAAAAAAACAAAGTCATTGTCCATATACTATTTATACATATACAAAGCTAACGTACGTGTTATAAGGATTCAATACTTAATTAAGAAAACAATTATTAGTCCTCTCATTATACCCGTGGTGATGATGATTACTGTGTCATCTCAAAAATCATAAGCCGTACAATTGTTAGTATGTCCAACACTCCAAACTATGCGTATCCAAATCATAGATTACATGTACACATCTTGTGAAGCAATATCACATGACTACTGTATCGTTTTCAATGGTTTAGAAGTACTGGAAATTGTTGATCCGGATAAGGGTCCAAAATAATAAAATTTAATTTTTACATACAAATATGTGTTTGAGAATTGTTAATGTTTAACATCGACACACCAGGGGCGGAGGGAGGGGTGGCCATGACCCCCCAAATTTTTCTGTAATCTCTATTAATGGTATATATTTATATTTATTCAAAGTAATTTAATACAGAAAAATTTAAATTTATCCCCTCAAAATTTTCTATAACTTCTATTAATAGTATATATTTATAATTATTAATGGTAATTTATTATAGAAAATTTAAAATTGACCCTCTAAATTTTCAAAAAAATACTTATTTTTGTTAATTATTTATGGTTATTAAAAATGATTTGCAAAAGAAATTGATTATGCTTCTCAAAGGCTAAGGAATCTTTTTTTTTTTATTTAAAGGTTATTATTACAATCTTGGTATAATATATGAGTACTCTATTCGCATCCTTCGTACAATATTTCTGATTCTACCCCTAATTAACAACACATGCTCCTGGTAAAAAAGTGTTCGTGCTCTCTAGCTTTATGATCAAGCACCAAAATTGCTGGTGCAGTATTACTTCTTTATGCCGCCACACACTGGATAAAATAAAATAATAAAACTAAACGTATGGGGGTCAACACGAGGCAAGTAGTGTAGGAAAATTTGGAACTTAATTTAGTGATTGATACGACACTTTAGATCGTTGACTGCTTAAGTTTTAAAAACAATACGAGAGTCCATACGTGTCGAAATCGCAACGGTAAAGAGGGCTAATTTTGTGGGGAATGGAATAACATATTCTGAAAAAATATTCTGAAAAAATATTCTATATAAACCCTATGGCTTCAGATGGAGCTGAATACGGAACAAATCTTCCCATCCTTAATTTCCCTCCATACCCATCTCACTCCCATTCCCATCACTTCTCTCTCTTTCTCTCACCTTCAACCTCTTCTCTCACTAAAACTCTCTCTCTCTCTGGAGATCTGCATTTGGGGTTGACTGGTTCTCTCGTTACTATTCAGGTATAATAAAACCATCTCTTGTAATTTTTCGTTCTAATCTCTATTTTCTTCACAAAGTAGTATAGTACGTTCATGCTTATTAACGTTAATTTTTTCTTTTTGATTTTTATTCCCATGATTATATATGTATTCCATATATCACTATGAAGGTATATATATACACACATTAGTTTTCGTTAGCAGCGAAGATTCACCATCATATTAAATAACGTCCCTTATAAAAGAAAGATCTGAATTATTATTATTATTATTATTATTATTATTATTTTAAAGTAATGACATCATGGACTACAAATGGTATTGTTCTTGATTTTTTATTTATTTATTTATTTATTTTTGTAATTTCCAAAAGGCAAAGTATTGTTCTTGAAGTTGGGTTTCTAGTTCCATAGCTATTTTTCCAAATTTTTGCGTTGGGTGTGAAAAAGTATTAAAAGTATATTTATGAACACATACGTTGTCAATTTTGTTAGGAAAAGGGGTGGGGGAATTTTTAGTTGTTGAGATTCTCCCATCTTCTGAAGTTGCGCTCACTTTTTTAAAGATGTTTTTTTACATGAATTTAGTTTCTATTTCGAATAAAAATAGAAAGTAATTTGAACCCTTTTTATCAATCTTACTAGCTAGCAAACAAGTGACATCATGTGGTATTTTTAACATTTTCTGTATTTTTTTTTCCCTGGGTAGTTTCTTAAATCATTAACCGCTAATTTCTAGAGCTTTTGAAGAATTTTTTTTTGGATTCAACAAATATGACTTTCTGTCTCTTTTGTGTATATCCCAAAGCCATAATTACCATTAATCTTATCCCTAAAAGAGTATTCCGTGTTTTTTCAACTCTTGTTGGGACTTGAGGCCTTAATTTTGTTGCTTAATTCTCTTTGCTTGTAATATGATAAAGTTTCTAATATGGTCATGTAGTTCACATCCTTCTGTTTGTTTCATTGGAAAGTTTTTCTTTTCCATTTTCTTTCATCCATGGAGCTTTTACTTTAACTTAGAAGCAGAGATAGAGAGAGAGAGAGAAAAAAAAAACACACACACACACACAGAGGAGTCCCGTGTCTTTTATTTTGGGTAGGTGAAAAACACACAGGACTCTGAAGCAAAAGTACCTAAACAACATTAATAATTGGGGCCCAAGTCCAACATGACTACTCTTCGCAAATATCTTCAAATCATTGCAACGAAACATTTGAATATCCAATAAAATAAAGAAGAATCTATATAAAAAAAAAATTCCCAACTACAGCTGTTAATTTTTGTAGTTTTGATAACTTTGTTTTATTCTATTTTATACACCTGTGAATGCTGTGCTCTTAATTGATTTCTTTTGACATGTCTACTCTAATTTGTCGATTTTCAATGCATCATAGTCACAAAGGTCGCCAACTTTGACAAAATCATGTGTTGGCATTAGAGGTTTCAAATCCGTGGAAAACGCGTGGCCACTTTTTGTCTTCTTTTGAAATATCTAATTTTCTTTGTTTGTTGCATTAACTACAAATTTAATTTAATCAACTCGCTTGAAATGGTGTTTTGATCTATTAATAGCTTGTGATATTTATCTTCCCTGTTTTATGTTTTCAGGGTATAGAAGGTGTAAGGTTGATTAGTACAGTGAAAAGGGCTGTGAGAGGAGGTTGTCATGGCCAGAGAACAATTGCAAGTGCTTAATGCACTTGATTTGGCCAAAACACAATGGTACCATTTCACGGCAATTGTAATCGCCGGCATGGGTTTTTTCACCGATGCCTATGATCTGTTTTGTGTATCTTTGGTGACTAAATTGCTTGGCCGCCTATACTACCACCACCCTGGTGATGCCAAACCAGGGACTCTGCCTCCTAATGTCGCGGCTGCAGTTAATGGTGTTGCATTTTGTGGCACCCTTGCTGGCCAGCTCTTCTTTGGATGGCTCGGGGACAAAATGGGGCGTAAACGAGTCTATGGCATGACCCTTATGCTGATGGTCATCTGCTCAATTGGCTCTGGCCTTTCCTTTAGCAATGACCCTAAGGCTGTTATGGCCACACTTTGTTTCTTTCGCTTCTGGCTAGGCTTTGGCATTGGTGGCGATTACCCTCTTTCCGCCACCATTATGTCTGAGTATGCCAACAAAAAGACTCGTGGAGCGTTCATTGCAGCTGTGTTTGCCATGCAAGGTTTTGGAATTTTGGCTGGTGGAATGGTTGCCATTATAGTTTCTGCAGCATTTAGGTCCAAGTATCCAGCCCCGGACTATGCAACTAATCCTGCTACCTCTGCTGTCCCGCAAGCTGATTATGTTTGGCGTATAATTGTAATGTTTGGTGCAGTACCGGCTGCTCTTACTTATTACTGGCGTATGAAGATGCCTGAAACTGCCCGTTACACTGCTTTAGTCGCCAAGAATGCCAAAAGGGCTGCTGCTGATATGTCCAAAGTTTTGCAAGTTGATATAGAAGCAGAACAAGAGAAAGTTGAAAGTATTTCCCAAGATAAAGGAAATGACTTTGGCTTGTTTTCAAAGAAGTTTCTGCATCGCCATGGGCTTCACTTGCTTGGTACCACTAGCACGTGGTTTTTACTGGACATCGCCTTCTATAGTCAGAACCTTTTCCAAAAGGACATTTTCAGTGCAATTGGGTGGATTCCACCAGCCCAAACAATGGATGCCATTGAGGAGGTTTACAAAATAGCAAGGGCTCAAACTCTCATAGCTCTTTGCAGTACTGTTCCTGGCTACTGGTTTACCGTGTTCCTCATAGATAGAATCGGGAGGTTTGCAATTCAATTGATGGGCTTCTTCTTCATGACAGTGTTTATGTTTGCCTTAGCTATTCCCTACGATCACTGGACTCACAAAGACAACCGAATTGGATTTGTCATCATGTATTCACTAACCTTCTTCTTTGCGAACTTTGGTCCAAATGCCACAACCTTTGTTGTGCCAGCAGAGATTTTCCCAGCAAGGCTACGGTCAACGTGCCATGGTATATCAGCAGCAGCTGGCAAAGCCGGAGCAATAGTGGGAGCGTTTGGTTTCTTGTATGCAGCTCAAAATCAGAACAAGGATAAGACAGATAAAGGGTATCCACCTGGTATTGGTGTGAGGAATTCGCTTATTGTTCTTGGCGTGGTCAACTTCTTAGGTATTCTTTTCACATTCTTGGTGCCTGAATCAAACGGAAAATCTTTGGAGGAAATGTCCCAGGAGAACGAAGAAGAAAATGAATCGGCAACTGAGATGAGGCCTCATGGTGGTGCTGATGCTAGGACAATGCCAGTTTAATCAGGCCTTCTTCTCTATAGTTTCTTTGTGTTATTCGGGGTACTTAGTTGACTATGCATGTCCTCGAGCACACATCTTAAGATGGAATAAGCTTTTTCGCTTCACTTCCAGCACATCTTAAGATGGAATAAGCTCTTACGCTGCTTTCTGGTGTTTATTACGATCTTTTGATGTAGAAAGATAAGTTTGTGATTGTCTTTGAATTCCACATATTGCAAACCGAAGTAAAATGAAAAAACTTTTGTGCATATATGCTTCCTATTTTCTTAGTATGCTGATGGAGAATTTTTTATTTTTGCAACAATATTCATATCTTTGAATTTGGGAAGATAAAATTGGAGGAACTCATTTATTAGCACTAAATCCATTCTTACAAGTTACAAATGTTTGATATTTTGTTGAATCTTACTTGATAATTGTTATCTTGTTGGACCTATATCTTTGATTGCTTTAAAGTAGGGAATTTACTTTGAAGATACCCATTGATTTGACCCTCCACGAACACAAGTTTTTGTATTCAAATGCACCTTTGGTGAATCCAGTAGAAAGACTTGAATGAAGATGATATCAGAGCAAAATGTGGGCTGTGATTTGAAAGAAAGTAGATGCCAAAACTGTGGTCGATGCTGTGAAATGGTTTTCCTCTGTTCTGACTGAAGTTGCAGTCCATGATATGAAAGATGTCATGCAACAGTTCAGTGCTATAAAAGTGTGTCATATCCCAAGATCTTGTCATAGCATTCATGATCTTAGAAAGCATGCATTATGATTTTAAATGGCTGAATTAGCTGATGGTGGCTTGCGTCTTGATCATTAAATCGAGTTTAAACACATTATTTCAAGCTAAAAAGTACTGCAGTGCGCCACAGCTCGCTACAACAAAGGATCCAAACGTGTGCTGGCTTTACCTAAAGAGTGGCTGAGAATCCGTCATTGAACAACAATTTTTCTCTGATCTGATCAATGGAAGTTTATCCAGTTTTTGTGAAAAAACAAAAAATTACCAACTCAATGGATCACATCTAGCTAAAAATGACTGGTGGGTGAATATTACCAATTAAGCAAGACATTCATGATACTTGAAATACTCTTTTGCAATGTTAGACCTTTCATTGTTGTTCTGAGATTTTGATCATAGTAAAGCTATAGTGAAGTTCTTGGAAAGAGAACAGATATGACAGAACTATTACTTTACTATGATCGCATCTTATTTTCTCCCTCTTTTATCGAGTTTATGTCATTGCCCCTTCAATTGCAGAGCAGACATAGAAGACTTCAAAATTTCTTTTCTTTTCCTATGACTTTTCCTTCATATTCTTGGAAATCAAACAGAACATTAACTTTTTTTTAAGCCCGCCATTGCCGTTTATTGGGCGCATGTATTTTTTTGTCCTTTGGACACGATTGTTGATGGCTTAAAAGCCAAAATTAGAGGGACCATTGACTTGACTCTTGTTTACATCAATAATATCAGTGCAAAGACTTCCCATAATGACAAAATATCACTGCAATGTATGATGTAAATTTGATTCAGAAAGGACTACTCAATTCAAGATAACCTCACTTGACAAGTGGTTAAAAGAAGATCATATGAGAAGTAATATCAATACATAACCATTAAAAATTGTTTTCATAAACAGAATGATACTTGACACACATCCATGCTTAAAGAAAACAAAAACATAAAAACAAAGACGTGGTCACAACTTTAGACTTGTTCTGAAGAATCTGAACCATAGTCTTGTTTCAAGGACTACTCAATTCAAGATAACCTCACTTGACAAGTGGTTAAAAGAAGATCATATGAGAAGTAATATCAATACATAACCATTAAAAATTGTTTTCATAAACAGAATGATACTTGACACACATCCATGCTTAAAGAAAACAAAAACATAAAAACAATGACATGTGGTCACAACTTTAGACTTGTTCTGAAGAATCTGAACCATAGTCTTGTTTCAAGGCCTAGATTCCCAACTTAAGATTTGTTCTAAAAAAATCTGAACCTTAGTCTTGTTTTAAGGCCTAGACTTCCAACTTGATTTGTTCTAAACCTTCGTCTTGTCTTGAGGCCATGACTTCCAACTTCCTATCGTGTGTATAAAGCTGCAAAAGACTTTCGATACGTTGGGAATAGAAAAACACACAATTTATGTAATTCGGTAAATTATTTTGCATACGTCCTCGGCACGTATTAAAAATTTCACTATTAATAATCGGTGTTTACTAGTTCTTACAAAGACCTTATAAATTCAGCTCCTCTCAAAGTGGCAACATAAATTGAACTTGTGATTTAGGCTCAAATTGAACTTGTGATTTAGGCTCCACAACCTCAACGTGATATAAACTAGGTTCAAGTTCACGTAAGAACATTGACTTGGGCACTGATTCAAAATACCAAATTCTGGGCTATTTTCCCACTACTGATATCCTTCCATAGAATGTGGAGTCCAGTGTACCAAGGCCTTTGCCTTGTTTGTGAACTCAAACAGAGAATTACGAATTGATTTCCCCCAGCTTCTTATAGAGGCTTGCATTTAGAAAGAATCGGTATGTCACTATGTCCATTCTGAACAGTTCAATTTACTTGCATTTTTATTCTTTTTCCAATGTCTTCACAGCAACCAGGTGGAGTATAGACTGTATAGTTCATTTGAATTCTGGCTTCGCTGGTCTTATCTTTAGCGTGTGTTTGATTATATCTCGGGGGTTCAGATCAATTTTCATGGTATACAAATGAAAGCAGAATCATTATTGGCTAATAATGATTCTGGTTGCTTGAATGTATCTTTGTACATTTTAGATTGCACCAATCAATATATATGGCTAAAAATTGTATAAAATGTCAATTCCATGATGTGGCTTGCTGCAAGTTGTCCTCCATTCAATTCATAGAGAAACTGTTTGTGTGATATTTGGTTGATTTTTCGGTACAGCTGAAGATATAATGGAGAGGCATGGATGGGATTGAAGGACCAATGATGTAGGGGTGGCAATGCTTGATTATGAATTGTGTTCGCTTCGTGTCGATATAAGGGTATTATATTAAATAGGTAAATTTAAACTCAATTTATTTAATAATCGTGTCAAGAATTTTCAACACTAACCCAGCTCGTTTATTAAACAGGTAAACGTGTTAACCCGTTTAATGATCTGTTTATCAAAACAAGACATTTAATATTTAATCAAATATTAAATAATAATAATAATAATTGTCATAATTAATCTAAATATTCAAAATAAAAAGAAAAATCACAAGGTATGTTTATGTTGAAATGACTTAACTATTCATAATAATTGAATTTAAACAGATAACATATTACATAGGTCATACTCACAATTATAACATATTGGATTAAATAGGTCATACGGGTTGAACCCTTCAACTCTAACCCGACACAATTAAGTAAACAGATTAATCGTATCGACCCTTTTATAACCCAAATTCGTTTATGTCAAACCCAAATCCTTTTAACTCGTGTTGTATTGTCGCGTCGTATCATAATTTACCACCCTAGATGTATAGTACATATTTTTACATAAATAAAAATGCACTAATATTTTGGTGGGATACAAAGTAAGGCATATATTACTTTAGAACTAAGACCCAATGTACATGATCATGAATTTAACTTGAGGCTCTTCCTATTGAACAAAACGGTTTTAAACAACTTCTATAGAATTCTATAATGAGAGGAAGGAGACAACACAAATAATAATCAGCTTCACTGATCAGTGTAGCGATCCGAATGCTAAATTAAGTAAGGAGCAGCACTGGTTATGGGATAAGGTACTAAAGGGCCTCATGGTTTTTATTTTTTTCCCGGGAAAGCATGCCTCGTGGTATTTGGAAAAGCCTTTTATCTAGGATTTAGTTTCTGAAATTGGAAGAGTTTATATGTGGCTAGCTAGAGATAGTAGAATTCTGGGAATGAAAACAGAATCAATTTACTATGTTATAACTTAGTATAGATATATAATTAAGTGTATACAGTCCATTAAATAAAACACACCAGGTATATAATGGAATTGAAACCAAAATAGATACATAATTTGGTAAATTAAACAAGCAGACTGGATGTCCCTGTCTGATATTTCATGGATAGAGACTAAGGCAACAATTTCTAATTTGGTTTTGGTGTGGGCTCTTGGAATTGCTACAACTTCGTTTACCATAAAATAGCATTTTAGCCAGTAAGAATGTGAAAATTCCAAGTTATAAACTTGTTGACATTTTCAATTTAAGCCTGATTAAGAAGTTGCTTGGCTCAACAGGCTAGTGAACAATCTAAAACTGGAAATACACTACTTTAACTTGGATTGATCAAACGTTGCATATAACTAACAAAATTGGACTATAAACTCGCGCCATTAGCCATTGGATCAAGTAGGAAGAGCACAAGCTCAATGAAAACAACCTTTTACAACTTTTTTCTCTTACTAATGGCTCCTTAAAGGGATTAAACTAAACCAGTTAGGAGAAGGGTAGCCCTAATTCCATAGCCCATAATGTCGAACAAGAAAAACATGGTTCAACTAGACATGAGACCAGCAAACAAAAATGCATTATTTTTGTTGGCTGTTGCAATTTATTTGGCCATTTTTTGTTTGGCAACAAGCTAGCAGTGGTCAATAACCATCTCCCTAACATAAACCTTACCCTGTCCCTACCTGACCCTAGTTAAATACTGATATTGAGGTCCCAATCTCATTAGTGACATAAAATTGCAACAATCTAGGCGCAAATGGGGGAGGCCTAGTGAGACACCCTTATCATTGAAACACTGATTAATCACAAATAACAAACCATTTGCATACATACCTCCATATATATATACACACACACACACACAGACATGCACACATGTGTGTGTTTGTGTGTTTGTGTATGTATAACCATGTTTGTATCAAAGGCCTTCAAACTATGGGCGGATACCACCAACCTATATACATGTAATCATACCTAATTTACCTGTCAACTGTCAAGTGATTTTAATTAGGAAGATAATACAAAGACAATATATGTTGTCTATGCTTTAAAAATTAATATAGTGCAATAATACAGGTAATTAAAGACGAAAGTATGACTCACCATGGACCATCCATCTATTCTCCACAAAGATCCAAGGTATGATTCCCTTATCTGATTTAAATTTGTGTTTAAGAAATGAATTATGGGGTCATTAGTCACGGATTGCACTTCTATCCAACATAGCTTGTATATATGGACATGCCCTGCGAGTCCTGCCACCATTGAAAATGATTAATTTCCTTAAAACCCAAAAAAAAAAAAAAAAAAAAAAAAAAAAAAAAAAAAAAAAATTTAAATAAACAGATTTGAGAGACAAATTTAGTAGCTCCAATACTTCTATATAAACTGCGTAAGAAGAATATTTAAATTGGTACTAAAAAAAATGTGGTAGTGTCATTTGTCAAGTTCTGTATTTCTTTGCAAGATTTTTTGTTTTACTTTGGTAGGATGCTTTTATGATGCGTAACTCCTATATAGACATGTCTTGCCATCATCAAAGATGATTAAATTTGATAAAGAGAATATGATGACTAGGAAGCAAATAATGTATTAAGTTTTTCTATTATTTGTTCTATCATCATTATATTGAAAACTATAATTAATATGATGATCATCATCATTATGCTTAATGTGATCCCATTAAACATATTGAAAACTTAATACATTATTTGCTCATTCATCATCATTATGCTTAATGGGATCACAATATTGTTTAATGACGAAATTTAGGCTCTTAAATGTAATATATAACGAAAAATATTAATTGCAGTCAAGAAAGATTTCACGATATTAATAGTTGGATCCGTGTGTATAGCACAGCTCCATATCAAAAGTACGATAATGGATAATGACAATTTTCCCATATGCTTGACAAAATGAATTATTGTCCTCTCTATTCTCAGTGGCCACATAAGTCGAACATCTCCATTTCACTCACGAATCTGACAAAAGAGAAGGTTTGATGCGATTCAACCTTGGTAATTATGTAAGGGTAAACTACATTGACTTTTTCTAAAATTTAGATAAATTATTATTAATTTTTTTTTTTTTTGACATCTCCTAAACTTATCGATCGGCCTAAACTTATTGGTCAGCTGCAAAAAAGTGATATTAAATATGAAGAGTCAATAATACTTTTGTATTATAATAATATATTATTTTATATTTTATTAAAAATAAAAATATTTTATATTATTTTATATTTTATTAAAAATAAAAATAAAATTATCATTTTATAAAATTTGATCAATGAAAATGTTAAAAGTCACTACAAGAAATGTGGGCTTTTACGACATAGTATTTACGGGGCCTCTTTATTTTGCCTCGTGATTACCATCATTTACGGAGTTTTTAAAAGAATCCTCGTAATTGTTACGTTAGAGGACATGCTTCCACGAGGATTTAGTAAAATCGTCGTAGAAAAATGTTTTTACGGTGTATTAAAGAGGTCGTGAATATTTAGATATATCTACGGCATATTTGTACACTTTTAACAGTATAAATGTTCCTCGTTGAAAACTTTCACATTTAAGGCATTTTTTTTCCCCCGGTAAATAAGCAATAACACTTGCCCACCAAATTGAATAGGCACAGTTAATAAAATTACTTAAAAAATATATTTAAAAAAATGAATTTAAGTCTTTTACGGTGTATTAAAGAGCCCGTGAATAAATTTCACACTTAAGGCGCCTTTTTTGCGCCTCAAATAAGTTCCACCAAAATAGCCGGCCAAACAAGGAAAAAGCCCACCAACATACTTTCCCACCGAAAAAATTTCACTCCCCCGCCAAAGTGCCAAAGCAAATAGGCAGACAAAAAAAGAAAAAAAGAAAAAACCCATTTCAGAGTTTTTCTTCCCCGAAGCTTCAACGAGAGTGTGGAAAGAGAGAGACCCGAATCTTTCATCTATCGATTTCTTTGGACGAACCGTGTTGGTGGCAGTAACTTGAGGAAAGAAAGCTTGATTTCCTAAACTCATCTTTCTCAGATTGGACTCCGGACGGTGTCGATCATTCCGTCAGCGACCAGCGAAGAAGTTAGGGTTTTCAACCAGCGACGAAAAATTGAAGTTGAATCGAGCCACCATGGACGACGGTACGTACCTTGTTGTAGTTGCCTCTCATCCTTTCCATTATCAGTCTAATCTTTTTCACAAAATTTTCTCTATATCTATACATTTTTATGCACATATGTTTGTATATATGTGTGTGCGTCTGTGAACTGATTCTTGATTTGATCTATTTGAGCGACCTATTTGTTTATACCACCTAGAGAAGAAAATGTTTATTCCCACCAAAACCCCCCCTTACTCACATGGGAAACCTTGAAAAAACAAAAACAAAAACCAATTCCCCCTAATTTTTCTTTAGTCATTTCGCAAAGAGAAGCCCTAGAACATGATACGCCGACCGCCACAGTCCTTGATTCCACTGACCACAACCTTCGTTCGCCTTGATTTGCATACTTGTCGTATTTCTACCCTCATTCAAGACTTTCAAGCGCTGCCTCATTCTAGTTCTCTCTCGAGTACTCTTATTTTCTTTTATCTCTTTCAAAATACTGCGGTTTCAGTTTGGTCGGAGAATCGAAGAGATCTGGGGCATATTTCAGAATGCTATCTTTCTCTCGGTGGGATTTCGCGATCGCCTCTCTAGCACCCCTATCCATACTACAACAACGTTCACAGCCGCCACCAGGTCAAAACCTAAATTTCCATTATTTTTTTATATTTGTATACAATTTGTTGAATTTCCTATCCTATGAGATGATTTCAATTTAACTGATAATGGAATAAATTTTCCCATAACATTGATTGTATTGCGTATTTATGAAGAAATTTTTTTTTTGCCTACATTTATATAATTCTATGGAATAGATATGCTTGTTTTTTGGAGTTTGATTGTTCGGAGTTGGGTTGGGGATGTGATGACCTGGAATAACAATTATTTCATCTTATTTAATTTTCATGTTTCATTTCTTTGTTTCTTATGATGGTATGTAGGTAGATGCCAAAGGTTTTCACATTAATTACATTTTTGGTACTCTGTTTGGGAGTTTTTCTTTCATTTCTCAGTCTTTTCTTCTTAATATTAGAATCATATCAATAAATGAAATTTCTGTATAACATAAATTCAAAAAAAAAAAAAAAAAAAGAAGACAGAAAAATTTAATCAAAGATCTAATGATATCATTAAAAATATATTTTGCTATCCTTTTTGTTCTTGTTCTTCCCTTTACTGAAATTAAGTGTTGTCCCATTTCAAAATTTCTGATTTTCATTATTATTTTCTGAGTTTGCAAGCAGTTTTGGATCTACTCCTAAAATGCTCAATTCCAATTGGTTGCTAAAGATATTCGTTGTCTATTACTTAGTAAAACTTAAAAATTAAAAGATATTCTTTGTGTATTCAACTTAGATGGACACATGTTCTATCTAATAGCCTTCTCTAATGTGTTATGTATTGTCAAAAGTATCAAATAGAACTATAGAAGATTGAGAGTATCCAACTAGGTAGAAAATAGGTACCAACATTCAAAAAAAAAAAAAAAAAAGAAGAAGAAGAAGAAGAAGACGGGTTTCAAACCCTACTGGCATGGGCAAAATTAAAACAAACATTCATCAAAGTCCCTAATGTATGTGAGTTGTGATAATTGAAATGCTCTCTTTACCTTCCCAGAAACTTGATATTACAAGTACTGCATGAATATTATACAACATATAAGAATTTCTCTCTCTAAAACATATTCAGCAATGCAGTTCATTAGCAATCAGAAATTCTAATTAGGACTTGCTATTTTATTTCCAACGTATCCCTAAATTTATTATGGATAATGACCATAAAGATTCAGGACCAATGCTGGACCATATAGACATATAAACATGGAAAGAAGCTTAACAGTGAGCGGTGCGAAAACAATCCATGTTGTGAAGGTTCATGAATTTTCCCATCTGCTCTAAAAACTTAGAGATTTTAAAAATATATGCATATACAATAAATAACACATTTTAGGTTCCACTTGCATACATTGCATTTACTACCACTTGCTCTGATCTCCCACCTGCATACATTGTATTTACTACCCAATTCTCAATTATTTAGAAGTTCAACACTTAATATCCAACTCAACTGATCTTGAAGATCAACATTTTGTGGTAGATTTTTAATTTCATGAGTTAGTTTCATTTGTATTCTTGAAAGTGAAAGAAGAATGATAGATGTTGTCCATATTTCCATATTGATTGTATTTATGGGCATTTCTTTTTTTAAAAATTCTTGCCTGCTAAGTTTGAATATTTAGCTAAGAATGAAACTTATTTGAGTAATTAATATTAGTTTTGGTGGTGGTATGGGTTGCTACTTTTCATATAGTTGGTTGATTCGTACTTATTTGAGGAACTAAGATTTTAATGAGATAGAGAGCTTTTCTTGGCTATTATGTTAAGCCTTGCTGGGGATTTTATTTTATTAATTAGATTAAAGAGATTTATTATTTATGCATGTCTAAATATTGCTTTGTTTGAGTGTATATATTTACATTTGGAATAAAATTTTTTGTAAATTACATAGGTGCCAGGCTGACTTCACACATGGAGGTGCTTTAACTAAGTTTTGGTGGTTCATGGATGTTGTTTTCAACAATGGTGTATAGATTATAGTTAATACATTAGTTAAATGAACATTGGTGTACTAGACAAGTCTTTTTACATACTGAATGGTTATTTATGGTGCACATGAGTTTTGCCCTTTAAATATTTGTTTAATTTTGTGTTTTGGTTTTGGTTAATGAAGTTTGTTATTTGTTCTTAGATGTGACTAATTTTTTTGAGGTATATTTCCTACATTTGTTATGGCGGAGTGATGATACTTGAAAATTAGATGTTATTTTGAGTTGGCGGCAACTAATATTTAGTTGGAATGTAGAATTTGAGTTGAATATTTATAATGAATGATATATTTTATTCATTTATTTGGAATGGTTATGATAAAATATTCAGTTTCTTAAGTCCCAAGAAGAATAAATAGTGAAGCCTTCACTATATATGACAATGATAAAAGTGTTTTCATAATCCCATTCTCACACACATCTCTAGAAGCAAATTATATAAATTGTAAAATTATAGATGGGAATGATTCACTAAGAAGTCTGCTTATCAATGTTAAAGATATGTTTTGACTTGGGTCTTTAATTATTAAAGAACTATTAAAAATCAAAAACATATGTTCTCAATGTATTGATACATTGAAGTAGTGTTGGAGACCTATACAAACGTTTTAGTATCAACCATACACTATGGAAATGGCTTATTTGCAAAAGCTTTTGTTCTTCATAGGTCACATAGATTTGAGTCTTCCAATAGAAAATGGGAAGAAACAACTGTGTTTATTATTATTAATTATTTTTTTCAAAGATTTGACACATTTCCAGTGTGTTTAGTTGAGTGTTAGCATGTCAAACTTGAACTAAAACAGTTCCAGTTAGAGGTATTGGCCAGTGCTTAGAACTGCTGCTGCTGATGATGATACCACCACTATTAATAATAGTTCATTATATTGAATGCCTGGGCTGGCATCATATTATTGTTTTATTTATTATTATTATTATTTTTTAAGTGGCAACATGTATCTTAGTAATTTTGCATCTTAATTATTCGAATATGTTGAGAAAATTTGGCATTCATTTTTTCCTGCTCGGTCTTTCCAATTAATGTTGGAACAAAACTGAAATTTTGAAATGGTTTTGTAGGATGTGATTGATAGAGATTTGTGTGAGCAGTTCCTAGCATTGCCGCTGGATCTGCAATGAAAAATTGCAAATGAATTGGACATAACTCCAACAGAGATTTTGAAGAAACTTGAAGAAGTTCGAAATAAGACCATTTGAGAATTATTAGTCCTAAGGTACATTAATCCTCTACTAACCAACTTAGACATGTCTTTTTAGCATGGATATGTATTTATATATTGTGAACGTAATTTTTATGTTTATGTTATACTACACAGAAAACTGGTGGTAATAGTTTACAATCGGTCATGCATTTGTTTTTTCTTGATATGTCTTTCTTGTTATGTGGTTTTTTTTTATCTATAATAGCTATCAAATCTGTTCTATAGAAAATTGCACCAGGGTGGACATAACGTGAATGGAACAAGGTGCATCTTTTGGAGTATGGGTCTGAGTACTCGACATGCTAGAAGAAGCCAATAAAAATGAATAAGAAAAAATAAATGATAGGAAATTGAATGAGAAGGGACATAACAGAGAACATAATACCATTATACAGATGTTGTAGCATTATATAGATGTTGAAGGAATTGTAGAATTAGAGATGGGAATGATTCACTAAAACTTACTAAAAAAGTTTCATATGTAGAAATCAAAAATAGAAAAAAGCATTTCTAAGAAAAATGGGAAGGTAGAGAAAAGGTCAATAATTATGTCAGACCATTGTAAGATAAAAATGTAACCAAAATGTGACCAATAGATGAGGTTAATTGGAGTATATATGACTTTAGAAGAACAATATTTCTGAAAGCTAGTTAATTGGAAAAATAACCATTTGCAGTTTAATTTTGTTAGGGTGGAAGAAAGATAATAATTGTACTATAATCTTTATTGATATATATATATATATATATATATATATATAATTTTCTTTACATCCTTAGTGGGGGAAAAAAAAAAAATTGCATTATGAAGGGCATCTAGAGCACATCCAAACCTTGCCCTTCTTTAGAGAAGACAAAGGAAGAACGCTAGTAGGGAGGGAGTGGCAACAACGGCATTAAGCAACTCTCTGAAAATAGGTGGAGCTGCAGTTGTCTTTACCCCCATCCTGAAATTTTCCTTTAGGAGAATATAAATGGAAATTCCACAATCTTGAGGCCGATTTTGTTAGTTGAATTGAATCTTTCGTGTTAATTTTTGTACTAAAAATTCCAACTCTTTTCTGTAAAATCAATTTCTTTTGCAGGTAAATTCATGCCTGTGATAAAGAAGGCAATGGTAGAGCTTGAAGGTAAAGATCCTTTTATTGCAATCACACACTTATGTTTGGTGGAATTGATTATCTATTGTCGTGTCACTGGATGCAACGAAATTTTATGGTGTAATGCACTAATAATTAATTGCAATTGGCATGAACCCTGACTTACATAAATCTGAACCAACCAAAATGTAATAATTTTTTTTCCTAAATGTAATAATTAATTGTAATTGAATTGATTTCTCAGCTACATTCTTTTGTTTTTGATTTTCTTAGTCATGTAATATCAAATTACCATTACACAGATAAAGAACATAGCAATGAAACAGTTGAATTTCAGTCACAGCACACACTCAGCAGGCTTTTTAAACTGAAAACCTTATTTAGTGAGGTTTATGAGGTCAAAACAAGAACAAACCAATTTTCTGGTTTATAATCAACTTCAACAGCTTCAAATCATCAATACAATCATGCTCAGATGATGTACAAGCATAGTACAGCAAGATTATATCATGATAAACTCAGTTCCAACAGTATAAACCAGAAAAACAAGTTAAATTGAGGGTTTGAGATATGAGATTCTATACCAGCTTTGATATGTGTTCCCAAATGACTTCAGCTGATATAAACCACCAAGATACACTTGCTCACCCCTTGTTCTAGTTTAAGAAATAGCCACAACAAATTTTCACTTTCTTAGTCTCATTTTTCACCATAAAATCAGCTTCACAGCCCCTTATAGTCTTCATTAGATTAGCACCTTTGTATGTTGATTCCAGAGCTCAAACACAGCACAACTCTTCAAAGAATCACTTTGAAATCATCCTGAACTATTAGCTTTCGAGGACCTTTTCATTTTCAGCTCATGAGGTTCATTTTTGGCTCTCAAAAAGTGCACACTCTCAGCTCTAAAGCTTATTTTCAAGTTCTCTCTTGTACACCCTTTTGCTGCTGCTTTAACAGCATATATATATCAAGAAATTGTTGCCCTAGTGTGGATGAGTATTCTCCATCACTGGCCAATTGTAGATACTAATATAATCTGACATTGTATACACTGAATAGACCAAACAACCCCAGTGCAGCCCTAGCTTGTATCACACAAACCACCTTTTTCTGCAGCCTACATTGTCATTGTACAATGCTGATACAATTAAGAGCTTCATTTTTCTGTTATTATCCTATCACTCTAGGACCACTGTTCATGTGGCTCAATGTAGGGGGGTCTTTTATTGCACAATGAAAATACTAAGAAATACCAGAATTGCCCTTAACAAGGATATATATTACTGCAATGGCTGTGATGTATATATATACCTGATAATAACCTCTGTGGTGTATTGCAGCATATAGTAAGAGTATAACACATACACACTCATGAGTATAATGACTGAAATGCCCCTGAATTGCCCTTGTGATACCAATATAGATAGAATAACCATGAACCCTTTTGGTTAACATTTGACATTAAAAAGGCAAACCTCACTTAGAACCAACAAATACAAGAAATTTTCCAATCCTTACATCCCGAATTCTCAGAAAAGGGGGCTCCAATGCATCCATTGAGAATGATGAACTCGGACTGTTGCTTGAAACCCCATCCGATCGCTCCAGTAGCCTTTGTATCTCCTTCTCTGCCTCAATGAGCTGTTCCTTGAGCTTTAGTACCTGTTTAAATATCAAGTCTTATGTTAATTAATTACGAGATTAATGAGTTTAAAAACTTAGGAGCTAAGAATTATAATATGGGATCATGAAATGCCATGTGTTGCTCCACCCAGCTACCTTAAAGAACTATGTACGGACTCTTGTGAATTGATGAAACATGTAGAACTGTTTTGCTTTCTTGTGCCTTGGGAGACACTTGTGTTCTTATCAACTTTCCTTTTTTCTTGTTAATTAGTCTATTTTTATAGCAATATTAGCTACCTTAAACAAATATTAATCCATAAAAAATAAAATAAATAAATAAATAAATAAATTATGGTAAGGTCTAGGGAGTGGAGTGCAGGAGGTTTCTTTTATGTGCGAATATAAATAATTTTTCTATAGGTTTCTTTGATGATATCTTGGTCAGCGACTGTCCTTTGTATCGAGCAAGCCTAAATGGAAATTTTTATCTTCGTGATGCTAACACAAGCTTAGTTGTATGGCCTAAGAAATATGTGAAAATTATTCAGGTCAATTAGTCATTCATTAACTTATTATTATATTTCTTAAATTAGTCGTACGATCTGATTTTTTATGTATTTGTTGGCATTACATTTTTGAAATATTTTTTCCTGACAGGATTGATTATCACCAATTCATTAGGAGTAGAAGAATCAGAATTTCTATGGTTCCAGTTTACAACAAAGGTCAAATACTAAGCTTCTTTTATGATTGCACAATTTTAATGTTTTTTATACTCATACTTAGGGAGGTCACATGCCTTTAAGTGACCAATTTTGTGATGTATCTTGAACTTTATTACATTATTGGTACATCGGCCCGTGTGGAGGCCATTTTTATTTCTTGTTTTAAAATATTGAAAGCATGGGAGTATGGGATCATCGTATGTAGAGGTTTTGATTGATTGTTGTGAAGGAGAAGTTGTTGATATGTTGTTTATAAAATGAAGCAAGATTTTGAAAAGAAATTCTGTCCGTCCCTAATTGTTGCGTGCCAAAAGAGCTTTAGGGACAGTAAAATATGACTGTGACTAAAAAACTCAACTTTTAAGGACAGTATTTATTGTCCCAAATAATACCGTCCCTAATAAATTTTAGGGACGGTAGAGATTGTCCCTAATACTTTATATATTAAGGTCAGTTTTTATGAACGTCCCTGATGCATATAATTTTGAGGACAGCATGTACCGTCCCTAATACACTAATTTTATTTATTTATTTTTTTATATTATTTTTTGGACCACATGCACCATGTTCTTTCTTTGGTATCAACATCATCACCATGTTCTCTTTTTAAAAACTTCCAAAAAACAAAAGAAAAAAAAAAAAGAAAAAATTCATCATATACAAAACAATAAAATAAGCTTTAAACCAAATCTAACAATAGCCATCAAAACAAAAATAAATCCACCACATCGGTCTCTGGAAAAGTAGAAAGTGATATAAGTTTATACATGTATATGTGTAGAGAGAGAAAGAGGGGCCTTCATGGAAAAGTAGAAAGAACTCACAATTGTTGGAGATGATAATCAGAAACCTGAAGCTGAAGAAGGTCAAATGGTCGATGTGGTCGAAGAAGAACTCACCACCGATGAATGCAGGGAATAATTATAAGAAGTATATCTAATTCTTGAGAATCAATCCCAGTAGAATAATTTCAAACATTCAATATATTAAAAATATAAGATATGTTGTGTCTATACAAGAACAAACTAGTTAGCTAGGATGAGGAGACGATCACAGCTATAATAGGGGAGTAGTGTCTAATATAAAATGTTTGAAAAAAGTTAAAATAAGGTGCATTACATTGTAACATTTATTGAGTTCTCCGTTTTTTTTTTCCAATTATTTATCTATTTTTTTTGGGTACAACTTCTGAGAGGACCTGATCCTATGACAAAGACTATAACTCGGCGGGGCAAACCCAAAGCCCAATCCAAAAAAATTGGGGTTTTGGCAGTGTTATTTGGAATTTGGTCTAGGCTTGGATTCATCCATGTTTAGCAACCCAAAATCCAACCCGAACCTGTCATGAATTAGCTAACATTTTTTTTTTCAAGGTAGAAGTGTAGATGAGTTAGAAAGTTAAGCTAGATTCTATTATTTTCCTACATTAATGCATATTCCTACATACATGGTTGAGGGTGGTGAATATATTTTTTACCTTCATTTGCTTTGTGATTTGTGGTCAAGAGATCAAGTTGGAAGTTCTCCACCTGGTTTATGAACTCTCTAGATTCTGTCATGTGACAGAATCTAATCCATTGGAAATTTTTCAACCTTGTTTTGAGATTTTTGAAAGGTTTTAAAGTGCAACTAGTTGAAATTAATCGGTTGCACATGTCATGTTGCAGAGACATTATTTTTGGATATATTTTATATTCTTTTTCAAATAAAATTAGTTGAGGTGTTCAATAGAATTTTGACAATACTTTTTTACTTTGACTTGAATGACGAGAGAGTATTAAATATCTAGGGACCGGGGTTATTCCAACCCATAAATGTTAGTTTGCAATAATTCAATGAATATAGAATGTTAATACGAATTTTTAATGGCCTGTTGCGTGAATTATATATGGATTAATTGTTATAGCCTTTTTTCCTATCTAAACCCAATTAACCACACACCCTTAGCATTAATATCATATACAACGAAAACTAGACAAATCTTTCAAATTAAGTGCAGTCCTTGTTATTTATCCCCTGATCTTGTTGCAGTTAGAGTGTATGAAGAAATCATAAAATTAACATCAGCACAGTATATAAACAATTTAGCATAAATTCGTGCATGAGAGTTCCTGAATCAATACGAATCATTAAAAAAGAAAAAAAGAAAAAGTCATAGACATTATCCATCAATTAGATACAGAGGTTCTTGCTAATCCAATATCCAAAGCAGAGAGTATTTATGAATTTTATGTTTTAATCCTATGAAAAAACACAGCAAAAAAGCAAATATACAGATCTGAGAAGCACCAGAAAAAAAATTTAAATATATAAAAATGTTTGTGTTTGATTCATAAATGATAATCTTGTTATTTCCTTTTTTTATTAGCATTCTGAATTTGAGACTTGTGTGATGCAGTTACTTTCTTGGATTTTGTACCGTGGATTTTGCAGCTACTTCCTTGGATTTTGTATAGTGAAGTGGTTTTTTGACAAGTGCAGACTGAAACTCAAGTGCTAGAAGGTTTATCAATATTTCAACAGAAGTGTTAAGAAATTGATGATTTTCTTGACAAATGGATGTACTTTCTGTTTTGGAACATTGATAAATGATGAATTGTAAAAATGTTTTAACTCTTTTGATATATTTAATGGGATATGTATGTTTTTTGAATTGAATTGAATTGAATTATAGCTGAAAATGATGTGAATTATAGGTAATGGATGATTAACTGGAATTAATTAAGGGTGCATTATTTATAAAAAAAATATATATATATTTTATTTACGGGGAGCTTGAAATACCATAAATAAGTGAAAATTCTCCTTAAATAACTTTTCTACGGCATACATGGCAAGTCGTGAGAATGGTTTATATTATTTACAGATACCTAAAATTTGCCGTAGAAAAGTTTTCTACGGCATGGTTCAATGCCTCGTGAGATTATTTACGGATAGTTAAAATTCGCCTTAGAAAACTTTTTTACGGCATGTTTCTGTACCTTGTCAGATTATTTACGTGTATTTACAATTTGCCGTAGAAAAAATTTTTACGGCATCCGTCGGTACCTCGTGAGATTATTTATGGGTAGTTACTCTTCGCCGTAAAAAACTTTTCTACGGCAGGCGATGGTGTCTCGTGAATTTTCTACGGGTAGTTACAATTCGCCGTAGAAACCTTTTCTACGGCATGCCACGGCACCTCGTAGGTTAATTAAATATAATTTAATATATATAAACGAAATTATTTTCTACGGCGAATCTGTTGTTTTTCTACGAGGTAAATTTTTTCGCGTAAAAAAAATTAAATATTTACGGAACCCTCATACACGAGTGCCTAGAATGCGCCGTGAATAGGTTTTCACGGCGTTTTTCGCCCCTCGTAGAAGCCCTTTTTTCTTGTAGTGAGTGTTATTCAACATAAATATTAAATTTTTAAATAATTAAAATAATAAACATTAGAATCATTTATCCGTATATAATTTATTGAGACCCAAAGGCTATAAATTACACATTTTGTAAGGTCACAAATGAGATTAGATACGTAATAGTTTGTCCCTTGAGCACATGGACAAGAACAAAAACAAGGGATCCCAAAACACCTAAAACTTATCACATGGGTGGGGGCTACCATGAATGTCCCATTACTTGCAACTCTTAGATTCTTGTACTTCCAACTTGAAAACTCTTTATATCCTCTTTGTGTCATCACCAAGGCTTCAGGTATCACTTTCTTAGATCAATGGAGTATGACTGAAAATACAATAGAATAGCTAATTTGTATAAATACATATATACACGCAACATATATTAAGGGTTATATATATATATATATATATGAAAGGGATTAAGGATGATTATACAGTTATACTGGCTAACCAAAGTCTCTTCTATATTATTTTTTTTTTTCTTTTTTTCTCGAAAAGTTATACAACTGATATAAATATAAAATAATTACAAGAGGTGGGCCTTTGGCCAAATAAGCCCATCAACTTAATAGGCAAATAAGCCCAAAGAAAAGGTCAAACAAGTAAAATTGGAGCCCAATTACACTAAAACCCAGTCCAGTAGCATCAGCCCTAATCTTAGGGTTTAAGGAAGGAGAAGAAGCTAAGTCCGGTGATCTACGAGGAGGACTCCGACGGCAGTAAGAATGTGAGACATTCCGTTCACTTATGATGCGTCTTGTAACTGCATAATTCACGAAGAACCCTAATTTAAGAATTTAAGTAATGGTGTATCAAATTTTACATGATTAATGGATAGTGTTATATTGTGTGATGTAACATTTGTCTTTGGATATATATTGTGTTACACAACTTACACGAATTATCCACAAATGAGGAGATTTGGATTCAATCCTTGATGAATGGCAATATTTTTGACCCTAGAAAGAAAAAAAGAGAAAGGAATTGTTATATTTCCAAGGGAGTGACAATTATGCACCTAGACTGTGTGTTTTTAAAGAGTCCAATAGAAGACGTGTAGAAAACTAGGCAGTTGACGACCAAATATTTTGTGTCAGGTAGCGAGAGCGAGAGAGAAGTTGATGGTACCAATAAGAGTTGCAAAATTTAATGTGATATTGACCGTCACCCACCCCCCTCCCTCTTAGCTGCGGGAAATGACATGTCACTTGATAGTGAGTCTTCCACTTAATTTATACCAGTCAGAGATAGGGAAAGAAACATAAACGTGGTTATCATTTATTTATTTTATAAAATAATAATAATAAAAAAAAAGAATAATGATATAAACTAAATTAAATTAGATTCACTTAACAAAACTCGTCTTCTTAAAAATATATAAAAAAATTTTTAAAAAATATTTATTTTGAAACAATAAGGTATATAAATTTTGAAAATGGCACGCGTCATTTGTCTATTAATACTTTCAAATATTTAGGAAGATGAAAAAAAAAGAAGATAATTTATTAAAAAAATAACAAAATAAAAAAGAATAATGATACACAAAATAATTTTTTCTAAACTTCTTTTAATAAATAATATATTTTATAAATTTATTTATATATAATAAATAATAATACAACATTATTCTTATATATAATATATATATATACATACATATTTTATTATTTACAATTTTTTGATATATATATATATTTTTTATCATTTGCAGAGTTACGGGAGAAAATAATAATAATAATAATGATAATAATAGGTAGAAGAGAAGAGATATGATAGTATTTTCGTTTAAATATGATAAAAAATAAAAATAAATAATAAGTTGATAATAATTAAATTACTATTATATCCTTTTAAATAGATGAGATATAAATGAAATATAATTTTCTTCTTTAAATTGTTGAGGTTAGTTTCAAAATAATAAAAATACTTTTAAATACTATCATTTTTTTTTTTTTCTATCTCCTCATATTTTTTGAAAAGAAAAAAAAGAAAAAAGGAATAGAGAGATATAACTATTCCTCCCTTCTCCCCTTATCCTTTTTCTTTCTTCCATTTTTAAATCAACCAAATGCAAGTCATTGTCATTTCCTTTTTGGTTTTTTTTCTCTCCCTAGTCTCTAATCTCTCTATCCAAATACGGTTATCAGACCAAAAAATTAAAAAACTTCCAGCTGTCACACACTTATAGCTCCCTTCCGTAAAGTTATACGTAACTACGGAGAAGTGTACGGGAAATCGTCTGCTCCGCGTGTCTCTCCACCCTACCTGTGTCAGTACTTTCCAATACGGAATTGTCCTCTCCTCATTTTCCAACCGTCGGATCATTCCGCAATATTGAAAGTAAGTGACATCCAACGGTACAGGATCATTCTTCATCTGCAAACGACAAACAACTCCAAATTTATATCATATTCCTTTTCCTTTTCCTTTTCCACTAACTTTTTCCATTCCATGCAAAACAAATGTCAATCTCGTTTTCTCCAACAATCTTCGCGTTAATTTCCTAACATCTGCCTTGATTCGTACTTGAGTATTTAATTTTCACTTTGAAATAAAAAATTTAAATAAAAAAAATCATAAACATAAACATTAGAAAAATATTGCTCCTCCCACGGACCTAATAACTACTCTAAACATAATTTTGAATCCAAACACACTCCATCTATACTTATTTATTCTTAATTGTCAAAATTTAGTAATATGATAAAACTGAAAACATAATCCAATTAAATCCAAGATAAGATTGGAAGTTACATGGATAATCATAGATATCATAGGATAATGAGCCCAGCTTTTAGGTTAAAAAAAAAAAAAAAAAAAAAAAAAAAAAAAAAACTCTAACTTCCTTCCAGATCCGCAGTACAAAGAGTTTCTTGATATCCAAACACAAAATACATTCTCAAAAGGCCGTCGATATTCTTCACTAACTGTTCTTGCAGTCTTCTCTGAGACTCTAATCTTAGAACTAATACTAGTTGGTAGGTAGGTTTATCCACATTGAGAGTACCTATACAGTATATACTTTTCTATATAGAACTAGAACACCCCACTTATATGATATATCTCTAGCACTTATCTATGTCTCTCCACCGCTCCATGGATGTCCTGCAATACAACCAACACAAATACGATAACAAATCAGAAATTTTACAAAGCTCACTTTTGCTACTAACTCTAAAATAAAATTAAATAAAATAAAAACACCCCGAAAAAGTAGCAATGTAGTTTGAACTTAAATTGCCACTATTACTTCAATTCTCAAAGGATTATGGCTTCCTAATCTTAGGGTATAAGGAAGGAGAAGAAGCCAAGTCCAGTGGTCTATGAGGAGGACGCCGAAAGGCATCAAGAAGGTGAGACATTCCATTCACTTAGGATGTCTTGTAGCTTCACAATTCATGAAAAGCCCTACTTTGAGAATTGAAGTAATAGTAGAGCAAATTTTGCTCTCTCATGTGCTTTACAGCAATTTTCTAGACGCAATAATTTTACATGATTATTTGATAGTGTTGTATTTTGTGATGTAACATATGCCATATAAACTATAAAGGAAAGAAAAATAGAAAAATATTTTTCTTTGTATTAGCACACAATTCACGAGTTTCCACAGATTCTCTTTATAGATAATATTTGGTAGTATTACTACCAAATCTTTCCTTTTCAACACTCCCCCTCAAGCTGGTTTGAAGATATCCTCCATAGCCAGCTTGCCAATTAGTCGGTCGAACTGTCTTGTAGGAAATCCCTTTTTAAGCACATCTGCAACTTGCTCGGTAGTAGGAATGTATGGCATACAGATTAATCTATTTTCGAGCTTTTCCTTGAAGAAGTGTTTGTCTACCTCCACGTGCTTTGTTCTGTCATGAAGCACTAGATTGTGAGCGATCGAAATAGCAGTTTTATTGTCACAGTACAATTTTATAGCCAATGGATTAGAGACCTTTAATTCATCCAATAGTCTCTTAATCCATAACACCTCACAAATTCCATGAGCAACTGATCTAAATTCGGCCTCTGTACTGCTTCTCGCTACTACATTCTGTTTTTTACTCCGCCAGGTGACAAGGTTACCTCCAACAAAGGTGCAGTAGCCAGAAGTTGACCGTCTATCAATAGCACACCCAGCCCAATCTGCATCAGTATAGGTTTCAACTTACAAATGCCCACGGTTTTTTAACAATAGACCACTTCCAGGGGTCCCCTTTAGGTATCTAAGAATTTTGTAGACTGCATCAAAGTGTTCTCGTCCAG